GCAAGCATCACTGCTTCTCCTTGTGATCTATTGAGGTGTGATGCATCTTATTATTTTGACTTAAATGCAAGCTTAAAATAACTTAGAATATAGTGCATGAGTTGTATGAACTATTTTTGGATCAGTATGAATCGCTGTTGTTTTAAGTTTAACCAAATATAATTTAAAAGTAAACTGTATAATTTGCATATGTAAGTTCATAGCAGTTGCATTTATGTATATATCATTTTAACACATTTCACAATCAGGAACACTAAAATGTGCTGGAAATCTGAAAGGACACTGATGAACATTTTAAAATGCAATGACTTCACATAATAATTCACATGATAATGAAATATTTTTGTTAGCATTTTACCAAGTGAATTCATTTTATCATACATTACTAATGCATTATTTAATTTAAAATGTACTATAAAAATATTCTTAAATTGACATTAAAATAAGTGTACTTTAAAAAAAAAAAAAATGCTTACGCATGCTTACACATTTATGAAAGTATTTTTAAAGTAAATTAAAATTTTAAATAAAATAAATTAATAGTTTTAAAATAAAAATTTGATATGTCAACATTGCACTGTGCAATAGGCCTAACCATAACTCAAAAGAAAAACAAAAACCTTAATTACCAGCTTGCTTGGCATTCTGAGCAGAAGAACTTCTGCAGTTCACACAAGGTTTTACTGTGTATGAACGATTAACAGAGAAATGACAAATCAATGTCATTTTGTAATTAAAAACAAAACTTATTCCTTAAAGATCTTTGACCTCTTATCTAAAACTGGTTACACATTATTCAGTGGGAAAACACTTCCATATGCTGTAAAAATCAGTATTGGCCTCTTTATTTATCTGTCATATTACCCATTAATCACTCTATAAAGCACAGTGGCAGTTTTCTGTCTTCAGAAATATTATATGATTTTCTAAATGTAGAATGTTCAGCTGCCAGGATTTTGGTGTTTGTCCAGCAAACTATCCATCTTCATCCAGGGAAGATCCCACTGGATTTCAGTCATGTCCTGCTTGGTTTTAGGCATTTCCTGTTGGACCCTTTCCCTCCTGAATGCCCTATTTGGACACACATACAATTTCTCCCTGGAAAACACGAGTAATCATTACAGATATTTGATACAGAGAGCAATGTAAATCAGTAGTCATTGAAATTAATATCACAGACAGAATAATAGAAACTGCTGAAATTAATTTGAAAAAAATTTAAATTTGTCATTATTTACTAACCCTCAACGCTCGAAATGACATGAGTGTGAGTTGATATAGACACAACTCTCATTTTATGTTTAACTATTCTTTTAAGTGTGTATCACTGTTAAATATAGCATATATCTGTATACTAAACCCGATCTCATGGGAAAAACATAATTTTATGAGTTGGTGATTTTTTTATGAATTTGTATGATTTGAATGGTACAAAAACATATTAAGAAAAAAATGGTACAAAGCGGGACATCTATTTGTTCCTGTGGCGCAGTGGTAGAGCATTGCATGAGCAGCGCAAAAGGTTGTGGGTTCGATTCCCATGGAATACACATACTGGTAAAAATGTATAGCCTGAATGCACTGTAAGTTGCTTTGGATAAAAGCGTCTGCTAAACCAGACTTAGGAATTAGGATAAACATTGATCAAATAGACCAGTGGATTGTGTTTTAGAGCTGATTCTTGAACAGTCCATTTATGTTAATAAGTTTTATGTAAAAATCTCACCTACATAACCAGAAGCTGACAGAAGTCCCATGTTTTCCTTTAGCGCTGGGTGTTTTTCTAGAAAAAGAGTGCTAGACAGACATAATAACAGTGCAATATCCAACAGAACAATTAAAGTAATTTCTTTACTCCACCTTTTCCGCTTGCTAGAGATGATCTGATAAATTTGTTCACACACTGTTTGTAAACTGAGAATTGGGAATTTCTTCTTTGCCTAAATTATCAGTGAAATATAGTGATGGAAAAAGAAACGCATTCTTATCTGTTTAATCCTAATCGGTTTAATAGCCAACCTAAAGTGTTGAAGAAAAGACAATGTCGTGCTGACCTTATATTCATATCTCTCACAGCCTGCCACTTCTGTTACATAAAGTCAAAGAACCTCTAAATTAATACTTTTACTATTTCATTTCAACACCACAGATCTATATGGGCAAATCAACCCCCTCTAGCCTGTGTGTTTTGAAACACAATTATTTACATGTTTGTCTTGCTTAGCAAATTTTGTTTAGAGTTTTGCCATTTTACAAAGCTATTAAATAATTAAATCACTTTAAGCTTAAATAGTTTTCAAAAGTGCCTTGTGTTTCAGGTTTACATCTCAAAGTTTGGTAGGCCTGCAGAGGTGGATATGTTCTTTAAATGGCTATTTTCTGCCAAATGACACTGCTTTGAGCTAATGCTAATTTCATAATATGAAATTCATACATATTTTAAATATTTTATTAATATTAATAATTGTAATACTTTATTTGCTTTTTAAATTATTATTATTATTTTAAAGTAGTTTTTTTTTTTTGGCAGGGAAAAAAAATACTATTTCATGAACTAGTTGCCCATAAACAGGGGGGACTTTTATTTAAAAAAACGAACATATGGCGTTGTCCTACAATCTGGCTTCACAAATAATGCTCATAAAATATAAGAGGTATCACAAATCAGAAAAGTAATATGGTGTGATGATTTCAATGCCCATAATACACTATGGGGGAGTATTAAAACAGATTATAATGGGCTGATTGTGGAAGAAATGTTATATTGGGGACGGTTAGTATGTATTAACTATGGATGTTTTACAAGAATAGATGTAACTCGTGGGCGTAAATCAGCTTTAGATATCACTCTAGTGTCAGAAAATCTAGCTAGAAAATGTGAATGGAATGTAAGTAAACAAAGTACAATGGGAAGTGATCACTATCCAATATAGTGTAAAATTGGTGTGGACAGCATACAAACCTTGGTGGAGAGAATTCCAAGATGGAAATTTAATGCAGCCAACTGGGAGCTTTTTAAAGAATTGTGCCATAACAAGATGTGTGAAACTGAAGATGGTATTGAAAGTATCGAAGAGTTAATTAAGAAAATAAGTGAAGTGTTAAGAAATACGGCAGAAGTAGTAATTGGCAAAAAGAAAACTATAAATAGTACAAAAGCAGTCCCGTGGTGGAATAACGAGTGTAGTAAGGCAATTAGGGAAAGAAATAAAGCGATGAAGAAAGCCAGAAAATCTGTATTGTTTAGTGAGTACATTAACTTTAAGAGAGCACAGGCAAAAGTGAGGAGGGGGGTAAGAAAAGCAAAAAGAAATTACTGGAGAGAATTATGTAATAGAATTGGGGAAGAAATTGAAATTAATGAAGTCTGGAATATGATTAGGAAGATGGGAGGGATTCAGAGAAATAACAATATTCCAGTTTTAGTAAATAATGGAAAAATAGCAATAAAAGACAGTGACAAAGCAGAGATGTTAGTGGAAGCATTTGTAAAGGTGCACAGTAATGGTAATATTTCAGATAATATGAGGAGATATAGGGAACAGAAAGTTAGGGAGAATGCTCACATTTATGTAAACAAGAATCCATCAGGAAGTATGTTAGACTCAGAATTAACTTTGTATGAGTTAAAGAGAGCGCTTGCAGGGGTCAAACATACTTCTCCAGGCATGGATGACATATGCTATGAGATGATAAAGCACTTATCAGAATTATCATTAAGTATGATTTTAAGACTTATTAACAAAATATGGGAGACAGGGAATTTACCAGAAGATTGGAAGCATGGGGGTCATAGTGCCAATAGCCAAACCAGGAAAAGACCATTCTCAGCCAATTAATTATAGACCTATTGCGCTGACATCAAATTTATGCAAACTTATGGAACGGATGGTTATGAACAGGTTGACTTATGTGATTGAAAGTAGAAACATTTTTTCAGCATGTCAAAGTGGATTTAGAAAAGGGAGAAATACGATGGATTCAATATTGTGTTTGGAAGCTGAAATTCGAAAAGCTCAAATTAATAAAGAGGTGCTTGTGGGAGTCTTTTTTGATGTAGAAAAAGCTTACGATATGTTGTGGAAAGAGGGGCTTTTAATGAAATTGGAAAGCTTGAGAATTGATGGAAAAATGTATAACTGGATTCTGAGTTTCTTGTTTGGAAGAACAATTCAAGTAAGAGTAGGGACTGCTTTTTCTCAGATTCTCCCAATTGAGAATGGAACTCCCCAGGGAAGTGTGAGCAGTCCTATTCTTTTTAATTTAATGATAAATGACATCTTGCATAACGTTGATACTGGAATAGGAAGATCATTGTATGCGGATGATGGAGCACTATGGAAAAGGGGGCGCAATGTTTTATTTGTAGAAAATAAAATGCAAAAAGCAGTGAATGTGGTGGAGAATTGGGCGAATTGTTGGGGTTTTCTGTTTTCTGTGGCAAAAACACAATTAATATGCTTTTCGAAAAAGAATCCAAATTTGAATGTCAAAATGTATGGTTATCAGCTTCCAGATTCGGGAGTGTGTTGGAAATGAGAGGAAAAGATACGGAAATAGGAAGAAAGATGTCATCTTATCAAGACTAAGAATCGGACATATTAAACTATAGTCTTTATAAAATAGGTAAGCATGAATCGGGAAAGTGTGACAAATGTGGAGAATTAGAAACAGTGAAACATTCTTTTTGAATGTTCTGCATATGAAAGGGAGAGATTTCAATTAATTCAAGAATTAGGATGGCTGGGAGTTGATAATATTTCTTTAAAAGTATTGTTAGGAAATGGGACGAGGCTATCAAGAGTGCAAGAAAATGTGTTTAAATACCTGAAAAACATAGGAACAATAGATAGAATCTAGTTTTTTTTTATTTTCCCTTCTGTATTTCTTTCTTCCAAATGTATACACACTCCACACTCCTGATCAGTAGGTGGCGGTAATGCACCTTTTTCGCTGGTTTGCCAAACCGCCATAAAACACCAGAAGAAGAAGAAGAAGAAGAAATAATGCTCATTACCTGCAGAAGCAGTCCTGCAGATGGCCAAACGTTGCTAGACCCGACATAAACTAGTTATATTTTCTGGCGAGGAGGGACGTCGTTTCTTTACAACATAAAATGCTGCTGAGGTAAACAGTCATTAGCATTTATTCTGTGCAGCCTTACAGTCAACAGAAATGTATGTGTCAAAAGAAATTGCCTTTAGAAGGAATTTGTGCTCAGATAGCTACCATCACCATCTGTTTACTGTAGTCACTATTACTAATGAGTTATTAATATCATTAGCCCGTTCACATGCACGAAATGTTACTCATTGTAATGTCAGCATTGTTTTTGTAATTGCTTATAAAGCATTTGTAGTAGCCTATGTTAAAGTTGTGCCACCTGCATCATGTTTTAACATTGAAAGAAGATTTTAAAAGTGCTATGTCCGTCTTTTGTTACCGCTGTGATTGCACCGCGCTGTGTAGATGAAGAAAACGTGATCGCAGGCGTTGTCGGATGCAGGCAGGCGTTGTCGGATGCAGGCAGGTGTTGTGATCAGGAGCAGCGGGCAGGACTGCAGGTATGGACACCTGGACACCCAACCCAAGAGCCAAACCCTTCATCCCCCGCCAGCAGCGCAGCCTCTACCTCACATGGAAATACAGACTCACCAACAAAAGAGCAGTACGACGAATCTGCCAGGTCAGCACATGTCAGGTAATAAGATTATTCTTTAACACAGGGGTGTCCAAACTCGGTCCTGGAGGGCCGGTGTCCTGAAGAGTTTAGCTCCAACCCCAATTAAACACACCTGAACCAGCTAATCAAGCTCTTTCTAGGCATACTAGAAACGTAAAGGCAGGTGTGTTGAGGCAAGTTGGAGCTAAATTCTGCAGGACCGAGTTTGGGCACCCCTGCTTTAACACTTACAATGGGGGTTTTAGTTTTCTTTCCTATTATATTTCTTTCCTAGCTCTATTAAAGTTTACTTGTATTTGCATTTGTGTGTTTTTTTTTAGTAGACTTATTTATGCCTTTTTATTAATACTTTTTTCATTGTTTTTTTTTTTTTAATAAACAATTAATTTAGTATTCATCGTTAAAATAGCCTTTATATTTTTATTTTATTTTTTATTTTTTTGCAAAATAGGGCATGCATAAATTTAAACTACTTTGTCATTCCATCTAATAATCAGTAAAAAAATAAAATAAACTAACTGATAGTGATAACACACTAACTGATAACAGCACAACTGTTGATCCACGACTTTGCCACAAGATCGTAATTACTGACAATGTCATAATGGTAGATTGTGGCAAAGAATACAGGATTTTCGATACATCCGATTTTCACAAGTGCCGTAACGAAAGTTTGGTTATCAGTTTACGTTGCAGTCATGGTCATGTATTATGGTAGGCTGGGCAGCACTTGATCCTGAGATGAAGTTACAGTGGGGTCCAATGTGATTCGGACCATACTGAAAATCTGTGGTTCAGTATCTGGAAATAAAACAAGTGTCAGGATTTAAAAAAAAAAAAGAAAAGAAAAGAAATGCGAGTTAAAACGATTAAGAAAGGTTTCTTGCATAGGTCACTAATCAAAGCAAATTTGTGACACTGACCATGTGATTTTTGCTCAAAAGGTCAGATGTAGGCCTGTCGCAATAATCAATATATATCGACTTATTATTGCGCAATATATGTACATGACCGCAATAATTTTTGGTGACGCAATATATTGCCCATTATATTTACTTAAAAATGTATGTCACCATGTATTGTACATTCCACTTGCACCTGTGTCTTTTGCAGTTTCTCATACATAACATGGTGTGGTCATGATGTGCTAGTTCAAATTTTAAAAATGCTTCTACAAAAAAAAGTTTCATCTGCAGATATGGCCTTGTTTAGGGATCTGTGCCTTTGTGCATACGGGCATCTGACTGCTAAGTAGTTTTTGTGTTTTTCAGCAATAGTGTGCACCCTTAATTTACAGAGAAAAGAAGGTCCGGGAGGTACAGAAAAATCTGTAGATGGAAAAATCCGCATACAAGTTCTTTTGTGCATTTATCTTTTTTTCTACTTGTTACTTTGCACTTTTTGTTAGAAAATGTTTATTTACTATTTATTCAGCTTTTTAAGGTATCTAATATTTTGATACTTAATTTCCATGATCTAAATATTCTTAAAAATGTAAACGTTTGTTGTCATTTGGAAGTGTGTAGGCCTTCTTGCGTTATTATGCTGTTACATTATGATTATATATGCAGTGGCATAAAATGGTCTTTAAAATGACAATAATATCGCTTATCGCAATTATTTCTGGCGCAATATATCGCACAACAAAAAGTTGTTTTCATGACAGGCCTAGTCAGATGTTATTCTGATGAAGCACCAGATGTTCAGTGGAACATCTAAAATTATGCTGTACAGCATGATCATCAGAATGTATTCTTGTGTTCATGCAGCTTCAGTTCAACTTGCACAAGAATTGTAATGCTGCTAATATAAATTGTAACTTTACAGAAAGCTTTCTGATAGGATAGGGTTAGGTTGTAGAATTTATAGCTGGCTATATTTTAATGCAGTAGAATTCTATGAAATGCCCCCATTTAGATAATGTGTGTGTGTGTGTGTGTGTGTGTGTGTATGTATGTTTGCAGGCCAGTGCTGTCCTGTTTCTACTGATCACAGTGATTGTGAATATCAAACTCATTCTTGATACAAGGAGAATAGCCAGTGGGGAGGATACAGCTCAAGAGTATGGTAATGTCAATTAAGTACCTTTGTGGACATTGTTTTATAATGCCTTTACCTCATTCAAAATATTACTATTACTTTAGTGGATTTGTAAAGACACTAATATCATTGTGCTTTCAAAGGTTTTAACTTTTACACACTGTCAGTTTTGAATTAATAACATTCTTTTTTTGCTATCATTGAACGTTGTCTCAGATGATGCCCTGCCTAACATGGAAACTCCACAGAGACCAGCCAGTGGGAGGAAGGTTTTGGATATCGAGGTGTACTCTAGTCGATCTAAGGTTTATGTAGCAGTGGACGGTACCACTGTGAGTGCTTCTGAGCCTTTTTTATGATAGGACACAATAGCCACACCATTACCAGATAACAATATTTGATGTATTTTTGCAGGTTCTGGAAGATGAGATGAGGGAGCAGGGCCGAGGCATACATGTTATAGTTCTAAATCAGGCAACTGTAAGAACACACATTCACGTCTCATCACAAACTGTATCTTCTTTTATCATTACTATATTTTTAAGTTGTCCACTCCATAACTCGAACATTATTTCGATTATTCTGTAAGTTTGTATGATAACATTTTGCTGTATCCTCTTCTTTCAGGTTCATGTCATGGCCAAAAGAGTGTTCGATACTTATTCTCCCCATGAGGATGAAGCCATGATCCTCTTCCTCAACATGGTCACACGTGGCAGAATCCTCATCTTCACTATTAAGGTTAAAGAAATGCCTCTCCCATCCACTCTCATGGATTCAGATTTGTGTTTTCTTTGTCTGTAAGTGCACTTCTTATTGGCCTCTTCAGGATGAGGGGACTTTCCACTTGAAGGATGCAGCGAAGAATCTTCTGAAAGGTTTGGGTAGTCAGGTAGCTGTCACCTTAGGCTGGAGAGAAATGTGGACTCTGGTCGTGAAGAAGGGGGGTAAGGACAATGCTTTTTAACTTTTTAATCATGTATTATACTACTGTTCAAAAGTTTGAAATAATAAATTTTTTTTTTTTTAAATGTTTTTGAACGAAGTGCTTATTACAAAGGCTGCATTTATTTGATCAGAAATACAGTAAAACTATAAAATTGTGAAATATTAGATAACGGTTTTATGTCTTAACATTTTCAAATTTTTTTTTTTTTTATGTGATGGCGAAACTGAATTTTCTGCAGGCATTACTTGTCCTCAGTGTCACATGGTCCTTTAGAAAACATTCTAATATACTGTAATACATTATATTTTATAGTATATTAAAACAGAAAACGCCTCTTTTTTTTCCCACTGTGATGTGATATAAATGTACTATTTATTTTCTCAGGACAAATTTATGGGGAGAAGCACTCCAAGTCTCCTGCTCTGTCCACATGGGGTGATCCTGTGCTGCTGAGGACTGAGGTCCAGCTGACAGCTTCTGAAGGTATTTATGCCTCTATTATTATGAGTGTAGAGTTCATTTGTTGCAGTTATGTTATGGATCGTGTTGAAACTCTGTTGATTTTGTGACTCATTTCAGAGGCAGAGTGCCATTGGGCAGACACAGAGCTGAACCGCCAGAGGAAACTCTTCTGCAGTAAAGTCGAAGGATATGGAAGCATTTGTAGTTGCAAGGATCCAGCACCCATAGAGTTTAATCCTGACCCAGTAAGAAACGCATCCTGTGACTAAAATAAGAAAATTAAAAAATTAGTAGTCAGTGAGATTTTTGTATACTTTTTTAAACACTTTTATCGAGCATTAAATTGATAAAAGTGACCGTAAAGACTTTTACATTGCTAGAAGAAAAATCTATTTCAAATAAAGTATTTTCTTTTGAACTTTCTTTTGAGTCCTTAAAAATGCATCACACTTGCTTTAAAAACAGATGTAATAATCTCTTGCGTCAAGGCATTCACTTTTACACTTTACGTTACACTGTCTGACCTACCAAACCTGTGCAAAATATTAGCATGTTTTTGTCACAGTGAACTATTTAAAAAGTTATTTTACTGTGATACATTTTTTGATACCATGATATGTTTTTATCTATGGTATCAGGGACATCACAATCAATATGCATGATGCCAGGACAGACTCTACATGTTTTTTTTCTCTCCAAGTTTCCCTTTTAACCATTGTTTTTATGCAGAAGTGTAAGAATTTCAGTTGTTAGTGCTTGTTATACCCCTCATCCTGAGATAACTTGACTCTTAAAAGCATTTAGACAGCAGAGCACAGTGTTTGTGTTAAATCTGTGTGGTTGACTAAACATTTCCATGTCCTGTCTAGCTGCCTAACAACAATGTCTACAACGTCCCAGTAGCAGTTATAGCTGGAAATAGACCAAACTATCTATATAGGTTAGTAAACGTACATTTCCTTGTGCTTTGCCATACTACCAAACCACATTATGTGGAGTTGAATGAATTAGTTAAGTCTGTGGCAAGTATTGATATGTTTTTCTGTTTTTGTTTGTTCATATATTTTTGTAGCCAACCAAGAATTGATTTTAGGAAATTAATACTTTTATCATCAAGGATGCATTAAATTGACCAGAAGTGACAATCAAGACACATGTATTTCACATACTTTAAAAAAAAAAAAAAATTCCCACGTTTTGATTTGGCTTCAGTGGAGAAATCAGAAATCCTTTATATTAAAAAAATGCATGCCTTGAATACCTGACTGAAGCCGTGTTTGTTTCTCTAGGATGCTGCGCTCTCTTCTTTCCTCCCATGGTGTCAATCCACAGATAATCACTGTTTTTATTGATGGCTACTATGAGGTATTGTCTCCTTTTTTCCCCTTTTTTTTTTCTCTCCTCTTAAATGCATTTTTTCTTCTCCGCTTTTGTGAGAGGATTTATACATAATTACAAACTTAACAAAAGCTTTCTGGATAGGAACCCATGGATGTGGTGGATCTCTTCGGTCTTAAAGGAGTTCAGCATACGCCTACCAGTATTAAGAATGCTAGAGTGTCACGGTGATATGTTTGTGACTTTTGTTTGAAAATGAACAATTAACATGGAAAGGAATGGCCAGTGATGTATGATTGCACTGCTCAAAGCCTGTTTGTGAATGACCATAAGATGGCAATAATATATTGATGTTAATTTTGTCTCAGCACTACAAAGCCAGCTTGACTGCAACCTTCAATCTGCATCCAGTGAGTAAATGATCACCTGCCTCACACCTTATATACAGTTACATTGTGAAACAGCTTGCAAGTGTTTGACTTTGGGGGAAAAAAAAAAAGTTTTAGGATGCAGATTTTGCCATTGTCTTGGAGGAAGACCTGGATATTTCCATAGATTTTTTTATCGGGTATGGATATAATATACTATTACATAAATATAGTGATAGATTATATAAAATTAATAGTGAGTGTATACACACA